GAAACGGCGGTCCTCCGCCCCAGCGGACTCAGCGACCCCAGCGCACAGCAGCCCGACGCATCGCCGCGCTACGAAGACGACCGACCGCAGCGAGAAGTCTCCTTCGAGGCGGCTCGGGGTGGGTGGGGAAACTTGCATCTCTTTGGCATAGGAGGAGGAAGAAGAGGAGGAGGACATATTCCAGGGTTCCAGGGTGGCGACATGGAGTTCCGAAAAGACTTGTGAGGAAGTCAGCGGGCAAAGAGGGCAGATGAAGCTTTCAGAGAAGGGAGGGATGGAGGGCGGGAGGGGGAGGGATGGAGGGACGAGGGAGGAGGAAGGAAGGAGGGGGAGGAGGAGGGAGGAGGGAGGAGGGAGGGAGGAGGGGGGGAGGGAAAGAGGGAGGGAGGGAGGGATGGAGGGAGGAGAAGGAGGAGGAGGAGGAGGAGGAGGATGAGGAGGATGAGGAGGTTCCAGTTACTCGGTGGAACAGGAAAGACCGAGAAATTGCTAATGGGGGACGCCCTTTGCTTGGGGAACCCCCAACTCGCAGCCTGTTGTGGGGGTTGCAAGATGGGGGCCAGCCAGGGCCAGCAACCCTCTAGCTGGCTTCCTAGATGGCGACAGTCTGCACGCAGCGGTCGCAACAGCCACCATCTGGTCGCTAACAACGGGACTATGCACAAAAGTCGGAGTTCCTGCCATCGGCCTGACCGAAGCAACGGGCAGCGGGCTACTTGGGCATGTTGCGCAGAGGCCCTTAGCCCCCAGCCCTGGCATGGAGCGCTGGTGAAAGGCGGGCGACATCGACAGACGACATCGGACGAACTTACCTCCCCCGGGCGTCTGGATGGTGACCACCCTTCCCTCGGGCGACGCCGACGACGGTGCGGTGGGACGGAAAGGGGGGATGGGATGAGGGAAGCATGGAGGATGAGACGTGTTGGCGGAGGAGGACGGAAGAAGGAGGCGACAAAGATCTAGACGGATGCTCTGAAGATTTTTGAGTCTAGATTCTATGTCAGCGAGACGCTGCTAGGCGACACAACGCGATGCAACCCAGCAACAGGCAACGCAAAGTGCTGAAAAAGGCCCCAAAAGGCCCCAAACACTTGCTGCAGCTGGGCAGCGCTCAGTGCAGCAAGTGCGCCTGCGTGAGAAGAAGACTTCAAGAGGCCCCCACATCTTGCTGCACGCAGGCAGCGTTAAGTGCAGCAAGCGCGTCTGCGTGCCGAGTGACACCAAGGAGCGCGATGAAACTCACAAGATGGAACAACATAAGATTCGCATGCTGGAATCTTCATCTTGCTCGGCACGGAAATTGTGACTATCACACCGCTTCGCTCTGTACTGTCACAAAACGTGCAGCGCACGATGCACTCTGCTCTACTCCCCTGCTACTGCTTCCCCGCCCGACAGGGCCGACAAGTCCTGCCCCCCCTCGAGAGCACGAGGGCGGAAAGGGAAAGGGGAACAACGCAACATTTTATCACGGATGTTACTGCATGTTGCCGAAGTTGTTATCCCACTTAGTGGGACTGTAAGCCTAGTTTGTGCTGCGCCTACTGCGGTTACCGAGGTCAGCAATGCAAGAAGTGGGGAGAGGCACTCGGAATGGGCGGGAAACGAAAGAGATGCGATGCAGAGCCGAACTGACCGCGATTATATGTTCCCCTTCCTGCGGCCTGCTCCAATCATTCTGCGGGAGCGAGTGGCGAAACCGGCGGACGTTACTGTGGCCGGCTCCTGCCACCCTGCCCCTCTCAAACCGGGGGCTCCACAGGTTAGCAGCTAGCACCCTTGCAACAGGGTGTCCGGAGGAGCGCGGTGGAGGGCGGCCCCTGGCTGGGGGATGGTGGGGACGTCGGCGTGGCAGCAGGGGGGAGGCTTGGGGTGGCTCTGCCACGCCCAGGCACAGGTTGCCGGAGAGAGCTAACAGGAGCAAGGCGGAGCGAATGAAGCTGACCCGTGGTGAAACGAAGCGTGGGTTTCAGCTGAAGGCCGCGCCCGCGACCGCGGGCAGCCGATCCCCTCTGACGGGATGCGGCGGAGGACGAAGCGGAGAAAGAGGGGGTGGCCTGGCTCCCGGGCCCTGCCAACTCTTTGCCGGAGCTCACGCAGCGCGCCGAATGGGAGGATATCGCCCGTGATAGTACTGCGCTCTGCTCTGCTCCCCCTGCTACTGCTGCCCCGCCCGACAGGGCGGACAAATCCTGCCCCCCTCGAGGGCCTTTGAGTCTAGATTCTGTGTCAGCGAGACGCCGCTAGGCAACGCAGTGAAACGCAACGCAGCAACAGGTAACGCAAAGTGTTGAAGAAGCTCCAAGAAACCCCCAACACTTGCTGCACTTAGGCAGTGCTAAGTGCAGCAAATACGCCTGTGTGCGAAGAAGGCTTCAAGAGGCCCCCACATCTTGCTGCACTTAGGCAGCGCTAAGTGCACCAAATGCGTCTGCGTGCCGAGTGACACCAAGGAGCGCGATGCAGCATTGGATGGAACAACATAATATTGACATTGCTGGGACCTCACAGATGCTACTGCATGCTGCCAGAGCTGTGATCTAACTTAGTGAAACTTCATCCTAGTATGCGCTCTGTGCGGCAGCCCGCGCCTGCGAACCTCCTCGCCTGTGGGCGCGCAGATGCAGCCTCGACTGAGGACGATTCGGGCGAGGTCCCCACCTGGAGACGAACAGGAAGAGTGGAGTGGAGGTGCCTAAACAGGTGCGGCGCTGCGGATGCCAAGAATCTGGCTGTAATGTTGATTCGGGCTGGCCGAAACAACGGACCGCGAGCTACCTGGGCATGCTAACCTTGCGTACCCTTAGCCCACAGTCCTAGCAGAATTCCCGGGGGCGGCCTGTAATCCGGGAGCTCCAGCCCTGTTTGTTGAGTCGGTCTGGCCGAAACAATGGGCCGCAGGCTAGTTGGGTATGCGGTGCATAGCCTTAACCCACAGCCCTGTGGCAGAGTTCCAGTGATGCCGGCGGCGCTGCGGGTGCCAGGAATTCTGCGGGCTGGCCGAAACAACTGACCGCGAGCTAGTTGGGCATGCTGTGCATAGCCTTGGCCCACGGTCCTGGCAGAATTCCCAAGATCCTAGAGACGGGGAGTGAGACGGCAGTGGAGCGGGCCAGTTGGGGGTTGGGCGGAGGAGCGGCCAAGCGAGGGGGGGCAGGAGGAGGGAGGAGGAGGAGCCAGTCCTACAGTGCCGAAATTATGCTTGGCGCCCCGTCCCCCGCTGAGGGACTTTGGTCCTGGCTAGCGCCAGTCGTGCAGCAGTCTTGGCTAGCGCCGTTCGTGCGGGCGCCTCCCGAATTAAGCTTTTGTCGCTCCGACCCTCACTTTCTAGCCCTCGTGGTCGGGGTGCTGGTCGGGCCCAGGATGGGCCCTTCAAGGCCGCCCCGTGCGTCCCCGACCACCTCGAGCACCAGGGAGGCTGGGGGGTCTCCGGCACGGGGAGGGAAAAAGGGAGGAGGGAGGAGGGGAGGAGAGGAGGAGGGAGGGAGGAGGTGGCCAAAACATGCGCGGCCGAAGCGCGCGCGTGAGAGGCAGGGGGAGCGGGCCAGCAGAGGGAGGGACGCGGCGGGCCCCCATCACGGCGAGCCCCCCGCGGCCCATGCCGCCGCCGCAGCGCCGCCGCCGCTGACGGGGCCCCTGTGCGTCGCGCCGCTGCCGCGCGGTGACTCCGCGCGGAGCGGCTCGGCGCGAGGCCATTCCGCTGGGCAGGAGGGCAGCTGCACCACTGGTTGGCTGGAAGGTGAGCGTTCAAGGGCATGGTCGGCACATCGCCTCCGAGCGCTGCGAACAGCGCATCGCGGCATGCGACGTCTGGCTCCAGCCCGCCAGCATTTCCCGAGCACGACTTCGCCGCGTGAACGTCTTGTGCCAACCCCGGGACTGCACCTGGGAGGATCTTCGTGGAGTCAGGACCTTCCAGCCGATCTGCAGCAACTACTCGGAGAAGCATTCGGGCGCGACGCGCAAGACGATGCCACCGGCGTCAGGAACGGGGAGGACATTTATACCTTTTGTGGCTGGTGACCCTTCTATCGTCGACGACAGCGACACGGCCTCTTCCCGACCGGGGGGGCCACGGCGTTACCCTTGCCTCCGCCGACGCCTTTCTCGCCGTGCCACCATCTCTCTCTTCCGGGGGGCGCTGGCGAAATCTTTCTCCCACACGCCGAGGCGCGCTGCTGCGAGTTTGGGGGGCTCTGGCTATGAGCACTGGCGAGCCTCCTGCACGTGGCCGGCGGCGGCGGCTGCGGCAAGGTGGGGGCCTTGGCGCTGGTGGTGGCAGATGGGCGCCTGCCACCCGCGGTATTGCAGGCGCTGGCCCGAGGGCGGGTCATCCCGCTGCAGAAGCTGGGCGGCGGCGTCCGGGTCCTCCGGAATCTGCTCCAGAAGGCGCTGGCGCAGCTGCTCCTCCTCCTCCTCCTCCTCCTCCTCTCCTCCTCCTCCTCCTCCCTCCTCCTCCTCCTCCTCCTCCTCCTCCTCCTCCTCTCTCCTCCGCCTCCTCCTCCTCCTCTCCTCCCCCTCCTCCTTCTCCCCCTCCTCCTCCTCCTCCTCCTCCTCCTCCTCCTCCTCCTCCTCCTCCTGTGGGCGCGCTAGGCGGCGCGGAAGGAGTGGCGCACCTCGGGCCAGCGACCCTGCAAGCGCACCCGGACTGGGTCTCGCTCAGCCCAGACTTGTCCAGCGCGTTCCACGAGCTGGACCGCGCTTTCCGGGCCAACGAGGTTGAGCGGGTCGTGCCTTCCTGGGCGCCAAACGTCCAGCGTTTGCTGGCGGCGGACGCGGAACACTAGCTGGTGGCCGACGCTGGCACGCGTGTCCCCATCCAGGTGCAGCGCGGGGTGATGCAGGGCGGGCCGCTTTCGCCGCTCCTGTTCGCGCTGGGCATTGCCTTCTCCGTCCGCCCGGTCGACGCGCACTTGGAGCAGTTCCAAGTCGGGCGGGAGATGGCCGCGTGCATGGATGATGTGGATGTCTTCCTGCCGCCACCGGCGATGCCGCACGTCCTTTGGGCGGCGGGGCGCAGCCTTCGCCCAAGCCGGCCTGCGGCTCAATGTCGCGAAAGCCACTTACTGGCGACCAGAGGGTGCCGCCGGCCCAAGCTTCGCAGCGCCGGCGACGCAGGCGCGCGTGCCGGTGGTTGGGGCGCGGCAGCTTGCCACGTTCCGCGCCCCCCTGGAGGTCGGGGCCCGCGGCGCGGCCGAGGCGGTGGCTGCGCTGCAGCCGCTGCCTCGGCAACGCCGCCAACGCGCCTGCGCGCGGCCTCAGCTACTGGTGGACGCCGCCTGGGCAGGCACCAAGGCATGCGCCTCCTTGGTGCGATCGCGCCGTAGGACATCACCTTCCACCTGCGCGCGCTCCCCGCCGACATCTCCGCCCTGGCGCAGCTGGGCGACGCGGCGGCCGCTGCGGCGGCCGCCATAGGGCGCTCTGGTGCACTGTGCCCCGCCCGCCTTCGCTGGCCACGCGTGCCGTTGCGCGAGGGCGGCGTGGGGCTCCCGTAGACGCGAGGAGGACGGCGCCGGCTGCCCTGCTATGGCCAGCACGGCGGCGGCTTCGCCCGCCGTGCCCAGGGCGACGGGGGCCTCCTATGGTCGAGGGCCTGACGACGAGGGTGCCCCTGCTGGCGGCGCGGCAGGAGCAGCTCGCGACCACACGCTTGCGGGGGCAGGGGCGCAGGCGCGCGACGGAGCGCCTCGGCGCCACCTGCGGAGGCTCTGTCTGGGGGGCAGACGCTGGCGGAAGCGGCGCGGGACACGCTGCTCGAGGAGCTCCCACTGGTCTTGCTCGCGCTGCTCCGCTCGGCTGGTAGGCGGGGGGCCCCTGCTGCCGGCAGAAGAGGGCGAGGGGAGGATGCCAGACGGCGAGTTCTCGGTGGCCTTCCTCTCGCGCGTGGCGCTGCCCTTGCAGATGCCGGTGGCGCGCGCGGCCTGCGCTCGCGCCAGTGCCGGCCGCGCAGGCGCAGCAGGGCCCCCTGGGGCGTCTATGCGCTGTGCTGCCCGCGGGGCCCTGGACACACGGGCCAGCGCGAGCGAGTCAAGCACGCCTGGGCCCGCGTGCTCGAGGACGCGCTGGGCGCCCCGCCGCCGGTGGAGCAGGTGGTCCCTGAGTGGGGCGCCGCCGATGAACGCGAGGCAAGGCTCGACTTGAGCTTTGCTCTCCCAGGAGGCCGGACCCGCCACGCGGACGTCACCGTCGGCCACCCGAGCGGCAAGGTCTGTGGCGAGGGCCGCATTCGCGCGAGATGGCGGCCTCGCGCTGGCGCTGGAGTCTGGAGCGCCAGAAGCGGACCCGCTACCCGCACCCAGAGCTCTGGAGAGCGGCGGCCGGCTGGCGCTCATGCGGACGATCCATGGACAGCGATGCGCCGGGCGTCCAGGCGCATCGCCACGGCTCTGCAGCGGGCGCAAGCCCAAACTGCGCGCCTCACAAGCGGCCGCGCGGGCCTAGCAAGGCTGCGTGGAACGCAACTTGGCGGGGAGAGCCGCTCACTGGATGGGCGGCCGGCACCGCGCTGGGAGCTATAGGCGGCGGCGCACGCCGCTGGGAGGGAGGTCGACGCGGCGCCGGGCAGGAAGGGGCAGACGGTTGGCGCGGCGCTGAGTGCGTGGACATGCTCGCCGTGGCCGCCGCTGGGCCGCCTGCTGAGGGACTGGAGCTTGCTTGCTTCAAGCCGCCTGGTGTTATCTTTGGAAGGCGCTGGCGGTGGGCCCCGAGCTCCACACCATCGGCTCGCTCCTCCTGGCGTCCCCGTGCAAACCCAATCTATAGGTTCTGGCTGGCGCACCCCCTTCCCCCTTGGTGTGGGCACCGTTCAGCGCTGTGCCATGCCAGGGTGGGGGGGGGGCGCGCCCGCTCCCATTTGCAAAGCGCGCCGGCTAGCCGGACACGCGGCTGCGCGGAGAGGGAGGGAGGGAGGGAGGGAGGATGAGGATGAGGAGGAGGGACGACGAGAAGGAGGGACCACGAGAAGGAGGGACGCGGAGGAGGAGGGACGAGGAGGAGGAGGAGGCGGAGGAGGAGGAGGAAGAGGAGGAGGAGGAAGAGGAGGAGGAGGAGGAGGAGGAGGAGGTTGGAGGAGGAGGAGGGCGACGACGGCGAAGGGCGTTTGGGGGGGGGGAGCGAAGGCGCGAAGGAGGGCGCACGGCACCTCCCTTCCTCCAGCCCCTTTTCGGCTCAGAGGAGCACCGGGCCACGGGCCCTCCCCCCCCGCGCCGCCTTGTGGGCTCCCGGTGGCGGCCCCCCCCGCGCCGAGCCGTGACGGCGCAGCTTTCGCGGGCCGCAGGGGCTCATGGCCGGCGGGGGCTTCGCGGGCTTCTTCGAGAGATGGAAGTCCGACTGGACCTCGCGTCGGGGGCGCGCCAGCGGCCCCGAGATCGAAGTTTTTGTTGGCGCTTCCGCTGGTTCTTGGCGGACTTCCCCGAGGCGCCTGCCGCGAGAGCGTTCCGAGGGGCGCCCAGATCGTCCGGAACGGCCGCTGGAGGCCCGAGACATGCTCCGAAGACCATCGGGGAACGGGGCGCCGAGAGATCTGCGCGCTGCATTTTTTGGCCACCGGGCGTCTTCGGCCAGCTTCGGGTCTGGGGACCATCACAGATCGATCCTGCTCGAAGAATGCCGCATGAAGATTCGGTCTTGGACTCCAGCCGTCATTTGTCGCAAAGGTGTGTGTGTGTATATATATATATATATTATGGGAAGGCCTCACGGCCGGTGCCGCCGAACCTGAAGGGGGACGACGACCATGACGGCGGCGTCGGCGGCGACGACGACGCTGACGTGGGGCAGAGTCCTCAGTGATGCTTCGTGGGGTCTCTTCGGAGCGCGCTCGTAGGCCTCTGGGGGGTAGTTCGGGGGCAAATTTGGGAACATCTTGGGACCCTCTGGGAAGCCTCTTGGGGGTCCCTCCGAGCTTCCTGGGGCCTCTTATGGTCCTCATGGGGCCTCCTGGGCGCTTCTCGCTGCCGAGGGCTTGACATGTTCGTTCGGGCTCCCGTGTGGGCACCCTCTTGGAGCTGTTTTGGAGGTCCCTTCGGCCGTCTGGGAGGCCTCTAGGGCCGTTTAGGGGCCCGTGGTTTTGGGGCCGTCTTGGAAACCTTCTTGGGGCCTCTTGCGCCGATCCTGGTGGCATTTTGGGTCGTCCTGGGGCGTCAGGAAGCCGAAAATGCGAGAACGCCAGAATCTTCCAAACATCCGAACGAAAATAAAGTAACTTTGCCTGTTGGGGCCCTCTCGGTGTACTCTTGGAGGCTTCTTCGAGCGTCTTGGAAGCCGCTTGGGCTGACAGGAGGCCATCTCTGGCGTCTCGGACCGATTGTTCGGCGATTCGGGGCCCTCTTGGACCGTTTTGGGGACCTCTCGGGCTTTCTTGGGGCCCTTTTGGGTCCCAGGACCCCCCGGGGGAGGATGGTATTTTGATCCAGGACCCACCCCCCGGGACCCCCCAGGGACCCCCCCCCAGGACCCCCCCGCGGGATCCCCCCTCAGGACCCCTCCCTCATCCCCCCGCCGCCCCGGGGGGAAGGTATTAAGGGGACTCAATTATGACGTTGCTCAATTTCGCTTTGGTTTCGCTTTGGCTGGCTCGCTTGAGGAGGAGGGCCCAGTGAAAGGGGGGGAGCGGCGACGGGCCCAGGGGACGGGGTGTCAAGCGCGACGGCGACGACGAGGACAAGGACGACGACAAGGACGACGACAAGGACGACGACAAGGACGACGACGCGACGACGACGACGACGACGACGACGACGACGACGACGACGACGACGACGACGACGACGGCGACGACGACGACGACGACAAATTCGAGTCGAACAGAACAGCGTCTTCCACTCGCCGACAGGGTCGGCGGATTCTTGCGGTTCTTGCGAAGGGGACACCGACGCCGCTGCTCGTCCTGGAGAGCCCTTGCCGCCACGGCTGGATTCTCATCGAAACTCTAAGCAGAATGCGCCCCAAGAGATCTCGGGGGAGTGGCAATGTTGGAACCCTTTTTCGCCCTCCCAGGATCGACCCCGCTCTGGACTACATCGAGGGCGGCCCGCGGATGGGGAGGATCGGGGAGGAGCAATAACGGCACGGGCATCATCTTTCGGCCGAGCCAGTCCTTTCCGAGGCCAGCCTTTTCCGCGGTGGCACATTCGCTCCTCCCTCCCCTCCTCCTCCTCCTCCTCCTCCTCTTCCTCCTCCTCCTTGCCCCAATCGGTGGCGGGAGTTTCGGCCGCGCTTTCCGGTCAGCTTCTGACAGCTGATTTCGGCGCGCATTTGGCGTGTCGTGGCCTCCCCGTTTGGAGTTGGGAGCGCTTGAAGATCAGCGACGGCAGGCCCATCGTCTGGCCAGGGTGCCTGCTGTAATTGATCATTCTAATCATCTTTCGGAGGTGCGCGTGTATTCCTTGCATCGGCGCCGCCAGGGGGCCCTACAGCCCGATCCAAGAAATTCGTGCGCACGTCCGGGAGTTTATGCTTATGCCGGTTTCCAGCTCTTCCAAAGGAGCGACTCTCACTTGAACGACGTGAGCATCGAGTACTCGGGCGAAGACGTGATGGCCGCCACCAAGAACTTTGACCCCTCGACCATGCTGGGGTCTGGCACGTTCGGATGCGTCTACAAGGGCACCATGGTGGACGGCACCGAGGTGGCGATCAAGGTGCTCCAGGTGCCGGAGGAGGCGGGCTTCGAGGAGGAGGTCAAGGTGCTCTCGCGATTTCGGCACCCGAACCTCGTGATCTTGATGGGCTTTGCCCGGCACTGGGAGACCGGAGGCAGGAGCCTGATCTACGAGTACCTCTCTGGTGGCGACGTGAGCCGGCGTCTCCAGCGGAGCCGGCAGCTGTCCGAGCAGTTCCTGTGGAGAGCCCGCCTGTCCGCGGCGCTCGACGCTGCCTGTGGGCTGTCGCACCTGCACAACATGACTCCGCGGGCTTTCCACAGGGACATCAAGGGCCCGAACATTTTGTTGGACAAGAACGGGGGGGCCAAGATGGCCGACTTCGGGCTCTCTTGCGTCTCTGCGGGGGCACAGCACAAGGTGCAGCAGGCATCGGGTACAATCGGCTACGCCTGCCCCGAGTACATCCGCTCTGGCATTATCACCGAGGGTAGCGAGGTGCACAGCTTTGGTATGGTGCTGCTGGAGCTCCTCACTGGCGCCCCGCCTGCGGTGCAGCGGCCAGACAGGCCCAACGAGTTCTGCTACCTCGTGGACCACCTGCAGGGCAGGGTTGCCAAGGTGATCCAGATGCTTGACCCCTCGAGCCAGTTCCCTCTTTCGCTGGCTCAGTCGGTCACCGAGACAGCCTTCAGGTGCATCCGATCAAGGCCAGAGGAGCGCCCGCTCTTCAAGCAGCTGGTGGAGGAGCTCCGCCAGCTACTGCACGCTGCCGACATGTACGCCAGCGCCTCGCCCAGCGCCTTGGGCGTGGCGTCGGCAACGCAGCCCGCGCCCGGGCCGCCGAAGCCGAGCGCGGCCCCGGCGCAGCCCGCGCCGCAGGCTGGCGTGATGAGGCTCATGGCCGGGTCCCCCGTGGAGTGCCGGTGGCGGGGCGGCACGGGCTGGTTCCCGGGCCGCGTGGAGCAGGTGCACCAGGAGCCGAGGAGCAAGCAACGACACGGGCCCAAGCTCTCGGAGCTCCGCGCGGCCGTCTGGGGTCGGCGCTGGGCCCCCCCTGGTGGCGCCGCCCCTGGCGCGCTCCGCGCGCCAAGGAGGGGGGTCCAGCGCCGATCCCTCCGAGGGTTTGTGCTCATGCTGCTGCCTGTGCCTCCGAGGACGGCACCCTCGCCGTGAGGTACAGCGACGGCGACTTCGAGGACAACGTGCCCGCGAGCCACGTGCGGGCCGCCGAGGGCGGCTCCGGCGCGACGGGCGCGTCCAGGGATCCCGTCGACAGGGCGGCGTCTCGAGGGCCGCCGAAGGCGCCGCCGTGGCAGCAGCAGCAGCAGCAGCAGCAGCAGCAGCAGCAGCAGCAGCAGCAGCAGCAGCTCGGGGGCGCCTCCGCGTCCTCCGACCAGGGCGAGCAGGCTCGGGGGAGGAAGCGGCATACAGTATACCCATACCGATGCCCTGGCCGATAGTTTTCGCCGTAAGGGGGCCTCCTGGGTGGCCCCCCGTCGCCACCGCTGGATTCGCGTCGAAACTCTAGTCAGAATCAGAGGAGGCATCGGTACCGATACCGATACCCTGGTCTATGGGTCTCCTGGGCGGCCCTCGTCGCCACCGCTGGATTCGCCTATGGTCAGAACGCGCCGTGTGGTTTCCCCACAGGCGGTCGGGGCGCGCCTGTGGTGCGTCTACGCGCAGGGGGTCGAGCTGGGGCACCTGACCGCGCAGCAGAGGTCGCTGCACTTCCCGCCGCGGGGCGCGGAGCTGGTGGTGGGGCGCACGGCGCAGCCGCCGGCCTTCTGGGACACGCTGGTCCCCGACAGGAGGCTCCACGGCACCGTCTCCCGCGAGCATTTCAGGGTGATCTCCCGCAGGCCACACTCGGAGCAGGGGGAGGCGGCGGAGCCGTCGTTCTACCTGCAGTGCCTGTCGCTGAACGGGTGCCTCCTGAACAGCAGGTGATCGGGAGGAAAATACGCACGGGAAGTGGATGGGGCAGACCAGAAAGCATGGAACATGTTGGAAATCCAGGGACTTTTGTCTGTGTGTGTGTGTGCCTGGGCGCCTGGAGGTACCTCGCCCAGGGCAGCAGCGAGCGCCTTATGCAGCACGGCGACGTCGTCGCGCTCGCCGCCAGCACGGAGCCGCCCTCGGCGCAGAGGGGAGACGCGCCCCCCGCGCGCAAGTCCTTCGTCGTGTTCGCCTTCGAGACCCGAGGAAGAGAAAACGGCATACTACCTTAGGTTTGCGCCGCGTTGACGCGGCGGCAACCTCGGCGCGGGCGGCGAAGTTGAAACGCCGCCAGTGGCCCAGTGTCGGCCGGCGTCGAGCGATCTGCGCTATCGGAGAGCTGCGATCGTTCTGGATTTGCGGGTTGGCCGTGCCAAATCAAGGGTGCCTTTTGTGTTTTGTGTTGCCTTCTACATTTCCATGGCAGTGCGGCTCGGAGGGGTCTCGCGTGTCCTCTCCAATCAGCCTCGACTGTAAGTCAAATGAGGACGCTAAGACCTTGACTGTACAGTCAAGAACGCGGTACAGTCAAGACGCTAAGGTAGGTCGACCCTGTCAAATCAAAGTTCATGCGGCGATGGCGCGCCAGCGACGCCAGCGAATGTATTCAAAGTTGAGTTCCGCACCATAGGACGACGCGGAAGCACTCAGGGGCACGGTCACGACACAGGACCCGACGGAATTCAACCTCGAACGATCGGGGCCGCGATCGGCTCAAGGTTGAATGATCGACACGGCGTGAGAAAACTCTGCGCGCGCCGACGCTGCAACAACCTACCTTACAGTCAAGACGCTGACATGAGGACCACTTGAGGTTTGGCCGGGCTCTGGCTCCCGTGCCGTCCTTTCGATCTGGGTCGGGCGACGTACACATCCATGGCGGCGCCTCGCCGCGGGCAGGACAGCCCCTCCGTTCCACGATGGCTGCGAGGAGAAACCCTCGAAGCTCCGCGCAGATTTCTGGGATCGGCGCTGGACCCCCCCCCCCGGGCGGCGTCTCCGGCGCCGCTCCTGGCGCGCGGAGCGCGCCAGTGGGAGGGGTGCCCAGCGCCGATCCCAGAAACCCGCGCGAGCGTCCGAGAGCTGATGCCCGAGCCGTGTTCTGCTCCTCCAGAGACGCAGTGCTCCTCCCGGGCGGCGCTGGAGGCGGCGCCTCCGATGCCGATCCCTCCCCAGCCGCCCCCGGCGGACATCGACGAGGCGCAGCGGCCGCCAGCCGGCACCGTCGCGGGCAGGTGGCGCACGTCCGAGGCGGCGGCAGGGGAGCCCAGTGGCGCCCTGTTCTGCCTGGAGGCCCACGGGGAGCGCGCGCGCGAGGACCTGCCCGCGGAGGCGCGGCAGCTCTTCTTCTGCGGCGACGCTGACGCGGCTTGCCTGCCGAGCCTGCGCGTGGGCCGGCACTACCAGCGCGGCTTCTGGCAGCGGGTCATCCAGCCAGCGTTCCTGGCGAGCAGCGGGTGGGCCGCCACGCTGGCCGTGGACCACTTCGAGATCCGCGCGCTCCGCCGCAGCAAGCCCGCCTCCAGCGAGCCGCCCGTCTGGCACTTTCGCCTGCGGGTGGTCGGGCCGTTGGGCGTGGCGCTGAACTACGGCTCCCCCTGCAGCAGCGGCGACGAGGAGGTGGAGCTCGGCCCCAGCTCGGAGGGCGCCAACTGATGCACGTGCACCGATCCTGGCCAGGCTCACCCTGGGCCCAGCACCGGTGTATGCGCCCTCCTGGCTTGGGGAAGGAGGCATACGGCCAGGAACTTTGGCTTAGCGAGTCGCCTCCCCGGTGCTGGCACACCACGCTTCGGTGCGACACGCCATCCACTTCCCAGCCCCCCAGCGTCAATGTCCCGAGTCTGTTCCAGCCTCCCGCCCCGCCCCGCGGAGCGGGGCGTCGGCGTCGGCGTCGGCGTCGTCGTCGTCATCGTCATCGTCGTCGGTGTCGTCGGCGTCGTCGTCGTCGGCGTCGTCGGCGTCGTCGTCGTCGGCGGCGTCGTCGGCGTCGTCGTCGGGGAGCGGGGCGACACGCTATCCACCCGCAGGGCGTAGCTTGTCGCCGGGGCCGCCGCCCCGATGCGCTGTATTGCGCCTGCACCGAGCCTGGCCAGGCCAACCCTGGGCCCAGCAGCGGTGTGTAATGACCCGTCGGTCCTCGACAGTGGGTGTTTTGGGATGCCCGAGGCCCATATCCACGTGAGGCGCTTTCCTACTTCAAGCGTCGAGCGGATGTCCCTCTTCTCTCCTCCTCAGGGGGCGGGCGGCAGTCCAGTCTACTTCCAACGCCTCCTGCTTCATGTTCCTACCCACTTCTTCCGACCGACGGGTACGCCCCCCTTGCCTGGCGAAGCAGGTAGTATACACCATCCCTAGGCCCAGGACTGGCCTGTCCAGGATCGGCGTATACCCTGCATGAGATCCGACGCTGCGGAAAAAATGCGACACCGCGAAACATCACGACCGAGGCCCTCTATTCCATCTTTCTGCGTCATTTCTCGAGCCGGATCGATCTGCGACAGTCCCAGGGCCGGAAATTGGGCAACAACGCCCTGCGTGTGAAAGAGATTCTGCAGCGCCCGGATCTCAGGGTGCCCCCTTCCCCGCTGGTTCTCCGGACATCTCGGTCCTGCAGCGGCCGTCCGGGAGGCTCCGGGCACCCCCGGGACGCTCTCGGCGAGGCGCCGTTGCTGGAAGGCGCCCCGAGGCCGGACGGCCGTCGAGGACCCGCGAGGGCGCCCGGAGACCTCGGCCTCGGAGCCGTCTTGGCGCCCTCCGACCAGCGACACGCTGACGCTGGGGGCGGCCCTGCCGCCGGCCGGCGGCCCGGGCGCGCCGGGGGGCGCTCCGCCCGGCCTGCACCTCCCGGGCGTCGCGAGGGGCGCCCCTGGCCCGGGGTGCCCCCGGCTCTCGTCGTTCCCGCCATGGAGCCCCCGTGGGGCTCCCAGGGGCCTCGTGCGGGGTGCTGTGGAGGCCGCCGGGGCCTCCCTGCATGGAGATCCCGAGGGCACCTGGAGGCAGGGGCAGCGACAGGGGGACAAGCACAGGAGGGGATGCGTCGACCCCCAATCGTCCACTCCTCGCCGATAGGGGCCCGGTAGCCCCACCCCGCCCAGGAACGTGGGGATCTGCGATCGGTGGCCTGTCGCCGATCCATTGGTGATGCATGGCCGATTCCAGGTCGATGTTTCCCCCCTTATGCCAGGTCCCCCCTACAGTCGGGCATATGATTAAGAAACCTCCTCCCAAGAAGCTGGGTCAGCGTTTCTTAACCAGCTTGCAGGACAGCTGGCCCAGTCTCTTGAGCACGTCCGCCCCCTCCAGCGTGGCCAGCAGAAGCTGGCCCAAGTCTGTGTCAAGACACTTCGGGCGAGCCGGCCCAGATTTCTTGAATACTGGCTCCCTTGATCGTATGCTCGGCTGCACCGTTGCCCCTTGTTGGGCCAGGGGCACTTCTAGCAGCACCCGAGCCTCACGTTCAGACCCCTCGCTGGCGCCCTCGGGCCCGCCTCGCCCCTCGGCGGCGGCCTCGTGCGGTCGCCGCAGCCGCGGCGGCTCCCGGACCTCGTGGGCGAGGAGGGCTTCGGCGGGCGACGAGCGCACGCCCGTCAGCCACGCGCTCAAGGGGTAGGGGGATACGGGGGAAGGCTTCGTAGAGTCGAGGGGGCGTAGGACTCGAGCACGCGGGAACTCGGGCTTGCCGACGGCTTTTGGCGGGCGCGTATCGGATTTTGACGGCCCAGTTTTCGTGGGATGTTTGCAGCGGGAGTTCGCGTCAAATTTCAGACTGGGTCTCGCCACTTTCATGATGGCCCCGCCAGGCCAACCCGAGGCCTCTGAACCCGAGTCTGACGTCTCCCCGATAGGAGCACCCTGCTTCTCAGAAGGCGCGTGCCTTGTCTATTGTTAAGTCGGGCCTGTCCCTCTACAGGGGGAATATCCAAAAATAGTCAAAAATAGTCGGAGGACATTTTTGTAAAGCGTTTTTTTGTTTTTTTTTTTTTTTTTTTTTTTTTTTTTTTTTTTAAAAAAAAAAAAAAAAAAAAAAAAAAAAAAAAAAAAAAAACATTAGGAGTATTTTTTGACTAGTCTTATTTTTCGTCGAAAATCCCCCCCCGTAGGGGGACACGCCCGACTTATGTCTATACTTCTAAGAGATGCCTCCCACCCTCTCCCAGACCCCCTTGTGTGCGTGCCGCCAAGCCTGGCCACAGCCGCTTCGATCCTGCCGATGCCATGACGAGGGCGTCGGTTTCGATTTCGGCTCGGCTCTGGATTCGACTTCGGTGTGAGCTTCCTTGTGCAGGCCTCGGCTCTGGCCGCCCGGCGTCGAGTTCGGTGCCCTCGGTCTTCCTGCCGATGTTTGCCGATTCGACGTGCAGTCGAGCAGCTGGTTCAGAAATCTCCCCCCGACAAACGTATTTCGATCGTCGGTTCGATGCTCTGGCTCGATCTTGGGTTATCCTGCCTGCAGCCGATCCTGGGCAGGCCCGGGATCGGAGAGCACGCCTCCCTGGCCAAGCCAGGAGGGCGTAGACCCTGACCCTGGGCCCAGGACGGGCCAGGCCAGGATCGGTCTATGCCCTGAGCTCCTGGCGGCTCAGTTTCTTCGAGCTGGGCGATCTCGCCCGATTTCGGGCCCCGGGACCCTCACAGGTCGGTCTGGCGCGAGAAATGCCGCAGAGCGATCGGGTCCAGGGCTCTGGTCGTGATTTCTCGCGGTGGTTCAACGCGTCGTGCCGTCGGGTCGCAGGGACACTCGCGCCGGGCCTGGGCAGGACCAGGATCGGTGTGTATGCCTCCCTGGCCAAGCCAGGAGGGCCTGGGCACCGACCATTGGCCCAGGGAAGGGAGCAGGAGGAGGAGAAGGAGGAGGAGGAGGAGGAGGAGGAGGAGGCGGAGGAGGAGGAGGAGGAGGAGGAGGAGGCCCGGATCGGTCTGCAGGCGTACCGGTGGCCCCCTCTCCCGAGGAGGGCGAGTCGGGGGCGGGCGCCCCGCAGCCGCTGGCCAGCTGCTCGCTGCTGGACTCCGCGCCGCAGCGGGCAGCAGGGTCGCTCCGGCCCGGGGCGGGGTAAGCTGCCACCTGGGGGGGGGTCGATGTTTTCGGAGCCTGGGGTCTGCCACAAAAACGAACGTCGCCGCGCTGTTCGTTCCGACGCGCGGCCGTCGTCGTGGGGAGGGCGCCGCGGGCACCAGGGCAAACGCCGTCTCGGGCGCGGTGGGTTCGCCGTTGGGTTTGCAGTGTTGTCGGCGTCGTCCATTCGAGCGCGTCGAAAACAAACGGCGCGGCGCCCTGGCCTCATGGGAGGGTGGCGGTGTAGACATCACCACTGGGAGCCACCGACTTTGTACACCGCCACCCTCCCTGAAGCTAGATGTAGCGTTCGTCGGAGGGTGTCTGTGTATATCTTTTCGTGGTGTATGGGGGGCAGACGGTGGACATGGTTTTTGTGTTGGATGGCTCTCGCAATGCTCTCCGCCGCCTCAAGCGGTGTGCGTTCAGAGCAGGAGCGTTGCTGCGTTGCTGCTCGGAACGCGCACCGAGCTTGCGAGAGGTCGAGGACCCCTGTCTCGAACCAATCGAGACGCTGGATGTCTGGACATGGATGCACTTGGGCCCAGGGGCGGGCCAACTATATCCAGGTCCATATCCACTGCCTGTCGACCCTGAGATCCGACGTCACGAGAAACATGCAACATCGTGAAAAATCACGAGGGGAGCCCTGGGCGTCATCGTTCTGCATAATTTGTCGCGCCAGATCGATATGTGAGGGTTCTGGGGCGCGAATCCAGGCGACAACGCCCATCGTGAAAAACTTGTATCGCCGGGATCTCAGGGGGGGTCCGTCGAGATCGAGCCCCCAGGCGGTGGTTATGGATCAATCCCCACTTGAATGACGTAGAAAAACGGGGTCGTATTCACGGACATTGGCGCCTGGGCTGTCTGCGTGAAGCGTAAAGTCGCGCGAAAGCGCTTTCATTTCCAATATAGCATGCCGTTGGCGGCCCGCGGAATCCACGGCGTCGGCTCGCTGTGTCATCGTGCGTGAGACCTTTTTTTCCTTCGTCGCTCCCTGAGATCCGACATTGCAAGCACATGCAACAGAGCAAGCGCGGCTGGATCCCCGGACCCACTCTCTTTGCGCCCTTTGTCGAGCTGGATCGATCTTCGATCTGTGAGGGTCCCCAGGCCCGACACCGGGGGCAAACGCCCAGCTCGAAGAAGATGAGACGCCAGGATCTTCAGGGTAAGACCCTTGCTGTTCGTCGCTCACCTCGGCTGGCTGCTAGACGAGGTCGGAGTAGGTGGGGTCGGAGGATCGCTGGGTCCTCGATACATCGGCGATGCGGACCAATCTTTGGACCCGAACGACTCCCTTCAGAGATCCGACGTATTGTTTTTGTTCCATGCGGGGTACCCAGAAGTCCCGACCCCTTCCTCAGGGCCAGCTTTGCATCTTGAGCATTGCGTTGGAAGTCTGGGCCTGGCCCATCCTGGTCTGGCCCATCTTGGGCCCATTGTCAGTGTCTATACGCCCTCCTGGCTTGGCCAGGACGGCGTGTACACCGATCCTGGGCCTGGACAGAATCGGCGAATCAAGCAGGATGACCCGCCATCGAGATAGACTATCGACTCGGCAATCGAACGACGTCGAGTCGGCAGACATCGGCAGGATCTCAGGGTAATACCCTCATCGTTGCGTGGCTCACCTCGCAGCAGGCCTTCCCGAGGTCGAAAACGAAACAAATCCGCCGCATGATATTCTTCAATGCGTCAGAGGCATGGGTCGGCACAAAGATAAACTTTCGTAGCTCCGCGCGGATGTCTTGATCGGCGCTGGGCTCCCCTGACGGCGCCTTTGGCGCAGCCCTTGGCGCGCTGCGCGCGCCAGGGAGGGAGGTTCCAGCGCCGATGCAAGAAATCCGCGTGGACCGTCAATAGTTCACGCGCATGAAAATTTGTTTCTCCTCCATTCTTTTTCGTGGCCCACCTCGCAGCAGATCGGCCACTCGCAGAGGGGGTGAGGGGGAGGGGGAATGCTTCTTAGAAACACCCCTGCTTCTAAGAAGCCTTCCCGTCTCCCCCATACCCCCTCTTACCAGCCTGAAGCATATCCTTATCCCAACGATTGGCATCTCCTTACCTCGGTGCCGATTTCAAGGACTCCCCCGGATTCTGAGGGCACATCCGAGAGATTGCCATCGCCCTTGGCTTGCCGATCTCAGGGATAGGGATCGGTTCGAGGCCAGCTACCCTCCCCAGACATCCGACCGCTCCCATTTTTTCGATGCGCGGGCCCCAGAGGTCTGGACCACTTCCCAGCCCCGGTTTCTCGCCCCGAGTCCTTTTTGTACACCCCTGGAGGCCGAAAACTGGCAGAAGCCCGCCGCCCCAATCTTTCTGGGAGCGTCGGACCTCTGGGAGGAGGAGGCGGAGGAGGAGGAAGAGGAGGAGGAGGAGGAGGAGGAGGAGGAGGAGGAGGAGGAGGAGGATAGGAGGAGGGGGAGGAGGAGGAGGAGGAGGAGGAGGAGGAGGAGAGGAGGAGGAGAGGAGGAGGAGGAGGAAGGAGGGAGAGGAGGAGGAGGAGAGGAGGAGGAAGGGGAGAGGAGGAGGGAGGAGAGGAGAGAGGGAGGAGGAGGAGGAGGAGGAGGAGGAAGGAGGAGGAGGGAGGAAGGAGGAAGGGGAGGGGAGGAGAGGAGGAGGAGGAGGAGGGAGGGGAGGAGGAGGAGGAGGAGGAGGAGGAGTGAGAGAGAGAGAGAGGAGAAGGAAGAGGGAGAGAGGAAGGAAGAGGA